AGATGAGTTATTAAAACTATTATGATTAAAAATATGTTGAAAAATCTTCTCTCCATAAACAGAAAATAAAAAGGGGGTTTAATAATTCTGACTTCGACTGTATGTACTGTGATAATTGAGTTTTGCAGTTTATAAAATGGTTGTTATTCCTACCCGGGCTCATTGTGGAAACGTAGCCCCACGGACATTTGTGAAGACTGCGAAATACGTCCCGGGAGGTACGTATTCGAGCAGTTTTTGTTTTCACAAATCCGCGAGAGGCCGCTGTGCGCGCTTTTTCGCGTCTCGAACGACTCTCGGGAGCGTGCGCTGTTTGAGCCCGCGCTGTTCTTGCATGAAAAGTCGTCGGAGGCCGATGTGGAGCGACCGTCCGTCCGACTGACTGGCTGAACGACTGAACAATAGGCCGGCCAATCGGCCGACCCAGCCGCCCTCCTCTTCCTCCTCCTCCTCCTCCTCCTTCCCTAAACCCAAGCGACGGTTTGCAAAAGCCGTCCAGAAAAAGCAAAAAAAAGCAAAAGCCCTTGTCTTTGATTTTGGCCACGTTTTCAGTTCTTGCCCTTATTTTTTGGATTCTGTTTTTCATCTTACCTGATTTCTGGAACCCCACGGGGATTTCTGGTCCCCGTGGCCGGCTCCTCCTCCTCCGGGCCTCCGCTCCGCCGACGTAACGATGCGAGCTAAGCGTACAAACTGGTTACAGCGGGAAAGCCCTCCACACAGAGGCGAGCCGTCAGCCGGCGAGTAAAAGGAGGAGCGGAGCCGGCTCACACTGCCCCGCAGCGTTCGCTGAACGTGGCCATACATACCTCCGGCCACGTAAATCGCGGTCTCCAGAAACGTCCGCGGGGCTACGTTTCCAGAATGAGCTTGGGTTGTGTTATTCGATATTTCACTTTATTGCTTTTTTTTTTTTTTTTTTTTTTTTTTGCACATTGAAGATTAGACAATGGAAAATACTTAATCGTACCCTTAGAGAGACTGTATGATGGCTTATTAACAAAAACAAAGGTCTCTATCTGAAATTTAATTCTATGAGAATACTGTACAAGTATCTGTTAATTAGCAGTTTCTGTATTTTCTGTGTTTTCTGTTTATTTACGGTTGTGAATTGCATTATGGGATGTTGATTACGGTTGGGCGATGGAGACATATTTGGCATCGTACGATATCTAATGTGAAACATCGCGATGGACGATGGCATCGTCGTCGTAGGCGGTGGTGAATTATTTATGAATAATTAACTAATTCATAACAAATTAATTATTTGTAGCCTACTATTTCAACTATCTGACCTGCATGATCTTTGATTTACCCATAACCAAATCTTAAATTAATAGAAATAAGTTACACACAAATGACCACCTGTCAGTCAGTTTTTCTGAGGACTCTGGCATGAGTAGGCAGAGTGATCTGTGTCGTTATAATATAGTGTGGAATAAGGGCTTTTCAGAAATGATACGTGAAACGCCAGTGTGGATCGTTTTCAATTTTTAATGAGTCAGGACCTCGGTTTAACGTCTCATCCATAAGACGGCGCTCACTGAGCAGTATAGAGTCCTCATCAATATACTGGGGCATTAGGACCCACACATGCAGGTTGAGCGCCCTCTGCTGGTCTCTCTAACACCACTTCCGGCAGCAACCTAGCTTTCCCATCGGGTCTCCCATCCAGGTACTGCGCCTGCACAGCCCTTCTTAGCTTCAGTGGGCGACCATGTGAGAGTTGCAGAGAGCTAGCTGCAGGCTAACAGAGCTTTCATTATAAAGCTAAGCATTTTAATGTCATCTACCTAAAGACTTATTGGCAGATTTAGAGCAATACGTTATATTTATGTAAGCAAAAGCTATGTCAAAATATTAGAAATGTTCTTTAAAGTCATATCACCGTTATCAAAAACAAATTATTTAGCGATTATATTTTGATGTTGAAGTATTGTCCAGCCCTAATGTGCATCAAGATAATTATTTGTATTTTTAAATCAAATTTGATCATATCATTTTATTTTAAAAGTAACAATTGTTAGCCCTTAAATGGGCTATTGTAGATTTTGAGGCAGACTGAAGTGGAGGTAATGTAAGCAGTGTTGTCGATCAATGCCATGCAGAGCATCAGGCAGATATCAGATAATTAATCATCCTAGCTAATAAATCAGTGTATCACTGGCGTACAGTATAATAATAGCACATAAACACAGACACTGCTCACACATAATCTCTGTCTGATCTTTTTGGGATTCATCCAGAGTCATTTGGCCGATGCTGTCACTGTGATTTATGAAGGCAGATTGGAGAGTCTGCTGTGTGTGTTAGCGTGTGTGTGCGCGAGCGAGAAGACACATGTGCATGTATGAAATCGGAAGTTGATTTAATTACACACAGAACAGGTTCAGACCTGGTGAATCCCGGCATTCCAATAAGAAATTCCCTATTAATGATTTTAATAATAATATTAATGATAATAAGAAATGTTTTAGTCGCATGTTTAAAAATACACATTTTTAAGGGTTGTTTAAAGGGCTAGCTCATTTTTACATTCCAGTGCTCTACTTTTCCATTGTTTTTCTTTGTAAACACGCATTTGACGTGTATTGGGGCTGCCGGATATATAATTTCAGCATCGATATCGCAATGTACGCATCCGCAATAGTTACATGGCAGGGTATGCAATGTTCAGTCTGAATTATAGTTGACCATAGATATATACATTAGATGTCGCCTGGCCTATAGTTGTCTATTGGACGGAATGCGTCAATAGCGCCGCCATCTTGCTACAGTGTAGCGCTCCTTTGAAATGAATGCGGGACCAAGGTACAGAGGAGGACTGTGGCCATCCAAAGCCAGAGATATACACATATACACATTTATCTATGATCGGGAGTTTTCCTGGATGTTAGTATGTAATTTTTTTTCTAATTACGGAAATTATAATTTTACATCACTTTTCTACATTGATGGATCAGTGACCGCACGGGCATTCCTGACAAAAAGCTTGTGTTTCTGTGTACAGAAATGTACTATTCACCCTCTCTGTTAAATGTGATCTAGTCATGTCCTGAAACACAGCTCCTCTCCTGCTTTCACTTCTCATACTGACGGAGAGAGCGATTCGTTTGTGAATGAATCCCCCGAACGACTCTTTCACTAACGTTAGCTGACAATAATACAAGTTTCTGGCAGCGCAGCATCTCGTTGTCATATTTCTTTTGCATTGTTTGCTGATTTTATTTAACAAAACTAGCAGAAGCCGAGTGTTTAGTGCGAGATGGAGCTGCTTTGCCTTATGGTAAATGCAGCAGTAAGTGACTGTATTATCATCAATAACGTGACCTGATTAGCACAAAAGTTCAGAACATACATAAACAGAAAAAAACTTAACCATACCTATGAAATATTCTGCCTTTGTGCTTTGTTTTCTTTGTTTGCTCGTTACTACACCCATAGACAACACTAAAGTCCCGCATCTTCACGTAATAACACTGTCTTGGCTAGTGCGGTTGAATGACATTTGTCCTGGGAGCACTGTACCAATGTGGCGGCGCTATTGACGCATGCTCAGGGTCCCTATGCGATATCTAGTGTATATATATCTATGATAGTTGACAAGGAACCACAGAGTTGTATTTAATTCTATTTATACAGAAAAAACATTCTCACTTTGAATTCTCTAGTCCAAATATCTACATATTAAAGCGAAAACACAGTTCTTTTACTTTCCCTATTGCCAGATCATTTTGCTTGTTTTATGGAAAAACTTTGGCTTATTTGTTTTATTTTGGCTAGAGTAAAAGCAGTTTTATTTTTTTTAAACACAATTTTAAGGACAAAATTATTAGCCCCTTTAAGCTAAATTATAGTCTACAGAATAAACCATCGTTATACAATAACTTGCCTAATTACCCTAACCTGCCTAGTTCACCTAACTAACCTAGTTAAGCCTTTAAATGACTCTTTAAGCTGTATAGAAGTGTCTTGAAAAATATCTAGTCAAATATTATTTACTGTCATCATGACAAATGGAAAATCTTCTCTGTTGAACAGAAATTAAGGGAAAAATAAACGGGGGGTCTAATCATTCAGGGGGGCTAATAATTCTGACTTCAACTGTATATATATATATATATATATATATATATATATATATATATATATATATATATCAATCCCAAAATGATTTTTCCTCCCAAGCTGCGCATCCCGAATTCCCAGTGTGGGCTGTGTTTGTGCCGCATCCGTGCTTTTATTAGAGGCGTGTGTGTGTGTGAGCTCAGAGCTGATCCGTGACTCATTCACCTCTCATTACCGTCCCACTCCTTATCTTCCCCCACGCGCACTCGCTCTCTCACTCCTTATCTCACTCTATCAGCCTCTCTCCCTGCCCACTCATGCACTGGATTGGTCGGTTGGTTGCTGAGGGGGCGGGCCCAGCTCGGCTGTGATTGGCTGCTTTGAGCTGTGTAAATCAGTCGTTGGGTCTCTCTCTCTCTTTTGCTCCAGTGAGGATATCTGCTGCTCCCAGGCAGGACGGGGATTAACTCAACAACTCATCTCATCTGCATATAGATGCACAGAGAGGCTCTTCACACACACACATTCAGGAATTTCTATCTGGACTATTTTGGACGTTCATATCGGTGTTTTGTTTGCTTATATTTTGCGTTCTCTGACCAAAGATGTTGGAGATCCTATTGGGAGTTTTGATATAATCGGTCTGTTTTTATTGCTGTGGAATTGCTGCAGGATGCCGTCCCGCTATTAGAAGTTTTAATTAGTTTATTTTATAATCAGTGTGGGTTTTTTTTTTTTTGGTGTGTAATTGCTGCACGATGCCGTCCCGTGAGTCGTACGTGCTCCGCAAAGAGGAGAAGTCTCTGGTGCACAAGGCCAAGGCGGAGGGCAAGGATCAGGGGATGGTGGCGGCCGCTCTGGGGATGAAAATGAGTCCTCAGAAACCTCCGGCCGCTCTCTGGCAGCCACTCAAACTGTTTGCTTATTCGCAGCTCACGTCGCTGGTCCGCCGAGCCACGCTGAAGGAGAGCGAACGCGTGCCCAAATACGAGAAAGTCCACAACTTCAAGGTAAGACCTCATGGTTTACTTATGGGGTTGTTTGGGGAGGTTTGGTAGGGATTTTTGCATGTGTGAGAAGGTTTGAGGGATGATAATAATAACAATAGTAATAAAATAATAATAATGATGATAATAATAGGTGACGCAGTAGGTAGTGCTGTCGCCTCACAGTAAGAAGGTCGCTGGTTCGAGCCTTGGCTGGCTCAGTTGGCGTTTCTGTGTGGAGTTTGCATGTTCTCCCTGCGTTTGCGTGGGTTTTCTCCGGGTGCTCCAGTTTCCCCCACAGTCCAAAGACATGCGGTACAGAGAAATTGGGTAAGCTTAATTGTCCGTAGTGTATGAGTGGGAATGAGTGTGTATGGATGTTTCCCAGAGATGGGTTGTAGCTGGAAGGGCATCCGCTGCGTAAAACATAAGTTGCTGGATAAGTTGGCAGTTCATTCCACTGTGGCAACCCCTGATTAATAAAGGGACTAAGCCAAAAAGAAAATGAATAATAATAATAATGTTTTTGGCAGGATTTTGCATGTGTAAGAAGATTTGATGGATAATTATAATAATAAAAATAGCAATTATTTTGTTAATTTGCCAAAAATATTTCCAGGTTTACTTTTAAATCAGTGTAGAACTAAGACAATTTTACCAATAATAATAAAAATTAAGAAATAAATAAGTAGTAATATTTATAATAATAATAAATAAATAAACGGGCAATAACAGTAATAATAATAATAATAATAATAATAATAATAAACAATTTTCTTAATTTACCAAAAATATTTCCAGGTTTAATTTTGAATCACCATTGATCTAAAGCAATTTCGACAATAATAATAATAGTAATAATAATAATAATATTAATAATAAATGTTCATAACAATTAAGTAATAATAATAAACAATTTTGTTAATTTACCAAAAAGTATTTAATTTAAGGGAAAAGCAAAATAAAATTGACAAAAATGTGAGGACTTTTATAATACAACAACAGCATAAACTAGTGAAATATATGTAATGAATCAGGGTAGAACTGAAATTATTTTATTGACAATAATAATAATAATAATAATAATAATAATAATAATAATAATAATAATAAAGTGACAATAATAAACAGTTTTGTTAATTTACCAAAAATATTTTCAAGTTTATTTTTGAATAAACTGAGACAACTGAACTAAGACAATTTTGAAATTAACAATAATTTAAAAATAAATTAATTTAATTATTTAAATAATTTAATTTTACCAAAAAAAAAAATTACATTTGGGGAAAAACATTCATTTGTTTGTTTGTTTGTTGTCAGAATTGTCTCAGTTGTACTCTGATTCGTTCACAGTATTTCAGAATTTTCCGATGTTATTGCATTAAAAGTCTGCACATTTTTGTCAAATGTAATTTTTCTTTTTTCCCAAATTTTATTCTATTTATTTATTTATTTTTATTATTTTCTTATTTTATTCATTAAGTTCACATAATTGAGTTTGTGCTTAAGAACAAAAAGCTCTTTGACAAGATGAGAAAATAAACCTAGAAATATTTTTGCTATATTAACAAAATTATTTATTATTATTTTGAGGATTTATTTATTTATTTTCATTCATTTATTTTTTTCCAAAATTGTCTCAAGTTTACCCAGATGATACTTTGGTGGCATTATAGAAGTCTACAATTTTTTTTTTTTTTTTTTGTAAATTTTTTCTTTTAATTCTTTTTCTTTATATGTAATAGTGTTGTCACGATACTGGAATTCGATACCAATGACTACTGAAATGTTTAAAAACGTCCATTTCCCACGAACATTTGAGTGCTTTTGAGCACGTTTTTAAACAGCGCTGATTTGTCATTGTGTTCAAGTGCTCAACGGAAATGACTGGGATTGGCCGTGAAGATCATCAGTTCACTGAACTCACTGCTGTTTACTGAGTGTAAAAACGGATATAAGAACACTGGAGCGTTTTAAAACCGCGATTCAACAGCGGATCGCTCGTGTGATAGCTTATAGACCAATCATTTAATGGACATTTTTATATTCCGGTATCATGACAACCCTAATTTATATATTATTATATAAATATTATTAGTATTATTAAATATTTTTTCCTTTTTTTCATGCATCAAGTTCACATAAATGAGTTTGTGCTTAAGAACAAAAGTTCTTTACTAAAGAGATGGGAATATTTTTGGTATATTAACAATTATTTATTATTATTATTATTATTATTATTATTATTATTATTATTATTATTATTATTATTATTATTAACCCTCATTTATTGAAATGTATATCAGTCTTGCTGGTATGTGAGTCACGTCCAGAGTGAACATGTCATCAGATGTTATGCAAATCCCCCCAAATGTGATTTAAATACGTCCCGAGGGGTGTGTTGTTGCCGTGGCAGCGGGTGCAGGTTGCTGGAGTCAGTTAACACCATGTAAAGCATCAGTGTGTTGTTTAAGACTGCGCTCTTCAAGTCCAGATCAGGAAAACACAGCTAATAAACACATCTCCTGCTGCACTGGAGAGGACGACAGAGACAGGGAGGTTGTTTGAGGTGACAGATGGACAGATTAAGAACTGATAGAGGATTGGGAAACAACGCGGTTTCCTGATTTGGGTTTTATCATCAGGAGCAGGTAGAGACCCCCAGCCCCCCATCTGTGGTCCAGCAACCCTCACAGACTGCTGACTCCACAATCAGCCTTTCTGCTCTTTTCTTCTCTCACGCTTGCTTTTTTCTCTCGTCGTCGCATGCTAGATGCTCAGATACAGGATGATGACTGCTTTTGGTTAATTTCTGGCTAATATGTTTAGTAAATACTGGTTAATTAAGCTAATAATAGTTATTGTTTGGTTATAAACAGGGCTATCAGCATTTACACCGAACATTCCTTTAAAGACTGTAAATGGCATAGTGTAGTCAGTCAGATCATTTCAGAGAATTAAAAGTGGGATGATAGGAGTCGTGGATTTGCCAAAGAAAATATTGGATCATTAGTAAATAGTGTGTATGCGTTTTTAAATTTCCGTTCATTAATAAACTTAATTATTTGCAGAAGAATGAGAATCCTGGGTTTATCAAATGCATAATTATTCAATTATTACATAGTTATTTTATAGTTGCAGTCACTTTAATTACATGCATTCTCAAATTTTCATTAATAAACAAAAATAACTCGTCTGCAAACGGGCGTGAGAATCCTGTATTTATCATACATTATTAATATGTTATTACAAAGTTGTAACATAGGTAATACATAATTATATAGTAATAATTAGTCGCAGTAATTGCATGCATTCTCAAATTTCCAATAACAAAACCAAAAATCTGCAGAGTGGTAAGAATCCTGGGTTTATCATATATATTATTAATACGTTATTACATATTTATAACATAATTATTACTTATTATATAGTAATAAATAGTCACTTTAATTACATGATCAAATTTCCATTAATAAACAAAAAAAACTCATCAGCGAAGGTCAATCAAAATCCTGGGTTTATTTAATGCATTATTAATACTTTATTACATAGTTGTATCATAGGTATTATATGGTAATAGTCACTTTAATTACATGCCTTTGTACATTTCCATTCATTAATAAACAACAACAAAAAAAACTCTTCTTCAAAAAGACCATGAGAATTCATTATTGCGGTATTATATAGTTATAGCATAGCTAAAACATGGTTATTATATAGTAATATATTATCACTTTAATTATATACATTCTCAAATTTCCATTAATAAACAAACAAACAAACAAATAAAAACTCGTCTGCAAATGACCATAAAAATTCCTGGATTTATTAATGCATGATTAAATCGTTGTTGCATAGTTATTATATAACATAGTAATAAACATCTCTGTAGTTACATGCAATGTTAAATTTCTATTTATTAATAAACAAAAAACTAAACTTCTGTTAAGGACCATGAGAAACCTGGGTTTATTAATGGATTAATAGGACTTTATTTCTTGGTTATTATATAGTAGTAGTGACTTCAATTGTATACATTCCCAAATTTCCATTAATAAGCAAAAACTTGTAATCCGTAAAACAAAAACATTATTAATATGTTGTTAATTATTTATAACATAGTTATTACATAGTTATTATAGAGTAATAAATTGTCTCAAATTGTCAGTAATAAACAAACAAAAAACTTGCCTGCAAAGGGTCGTGAGAATCCTAGATTTATCAAGTACATCATTAATATGTTTTTACAAAGGTATAACATAGTTAATACTAAATTTTATAGCAATAATTAGTCACAATAATTACATGCATTCTCAAATTTCCAATAGTAAACAAAAAAAATAATTGCAAAAGGTTGTAAAAATCCTGGGTTTATCATATATATATTATTAATACATTATTACATATTTATAACAATTATTACTTGGGTATTATATAGTAATAAAGAGTCACTTTAATTACATTATTAAAGTTCCATTAATAAACAAAAAAACGTATAATCCTTAAAACAAAAACATTAATAATACATTGTTACATATTTATTACATAGTTATTACATAGTTTATATATATGTATATATGTGTGTGTGTGTGTATATATATATATATATATATACACACACACACACACACACTATTTATATAGTAATAAATAGTCTTGTTGTCATTAATAAACAGAAAATCTGCAAAGGACGATGAGAAGCCAGGGTTCATCAAATGCATTATTATTACGTTATTACATAGTTATAATATAGTAACTATATTGGAATAAACAGTCATTGTAGTTTCATGATTCCTAAATTTTTATCCGTTAATAAACAAATCGAAGAAAACTTTGTCATTGAATAAAAGTCAATATTCCCTTTAGTTACATGCGTTCTCAAATTTCCAAAGCATTCTGTAAATTATGATAAGAATCCTGAGTTTATCAAATGCATCATTAATGCCGCTGCTTCGTTATGACATGGTTATAATATAGTAATAAGTAGTCATTGTAAATAAAATCATTCTTACATTATTAATGAGCATAATAAACTTCTGCAAGGGACCATGAGAATTTTGGATTTATAAAATACAGCATTATGTTATTCCATGGTTACTACTATATATATTTTGTTAAATTTACTTAATATTAGCTAAACTAATTTCCCAGTACTGGGTTGCAGCTAGAAGGGCATCCACTGTGTAAAACATATGCTGGATAAGTTGGCGACCCCTGATGAATAAAGTCACTAAGCCGAATAAATAACAAAGCAAAACTATTGAAGAGATAAAGAGATCACTAGAATATTTGAAGTTAGCATATATGTGCATAGTACATATATAAAGTACATTTAAAACATTATAAATAAAATAAAACATTTATAAATGGGAATTTTACTCCTTGATATTGAAGTCATAAGGGTAACATGAAACCATCGCACAGCAATATTGTTGGAAATTGGTTGCTTGGGACAAATCAAGAATTCCAGAGGGGATGTAAGGATATAAATTATTCCATGCATATATATTTCATAAATCTGAATCAAGGCTTTGTTTTGATAATCCGGTAAGCGCCGCACTTTCCTTTGTCCTCTTTTCCATAAACCGCTAAAATCTCCACTGCTCAGTAAATATTGAAAGACTTACACTCCTCAGAGCTCTTTTATATGTAAATAGGACACTTCTGATGTCGGTGTCAGCGTGATGTGCTCTGATTTCATCATCTACTGTAACATGGCTCTGCTGTGAGGATAGGAGACCTGATGGGCTGCTGGTGTGGATCTCCCTTTTAAAGAAACACTCCACTTTTTTTTGGAAATAGGCTCGGTTTACAAGTCACCAAACAGTTGAGCTTAACTAACATTTGACTGATCGGGAGCACACTTAGCTTAGCATAGGTCATTGAATTGGATTTGACCATTAGCATCAGATTTGAACATTTCAATGTTTACTAAGACCGGCAGAAAATATGAAGTTGCTAAAAGAAACACCTCTCTCTCTCTTTTAATGGAAATAGGCTCAATCTCACCCATTTTTTTATCCATTCATCTATTGGAATTAAATTAAACCATTAGTATCAGTTTTGAAAATTTCAATGTTCACAAAGATCGACAGAAAATGTAAAGTTGCTAAAAAAAAAAAAAACATCCACTTTTTTAATCCATTCCACTATTTGGGAGTACTTTTAGCTTAGCTTAGCATTGATTATTGAATCAGATTAGACCATAGATATATACACTAGATATCGCATAGGGACCCTGAGCATGCGTCAATAGTGCCGCCATATTGGTACAGTGCTCCCAGGACAAATGTCATTCAACCGCGCTAGTCAAGACAGTGTTATTACGTGAAGATGCTGGACTTTAGTGTTGTCTACGGGTGTAGTAACGAGCAAACAAAGAAAACTAAGCACAAAGGCAGAACATTTCATAGGTATGATTAAGATTTTTTCTGTTTATGTATGTTCTGAACTTTTGTGCTAATCAGGTAACGTTATTGATGATAATACAGTCACTTACTGCATTCACCATAAGGCAAAGCAGCTCCATCTCGCACTAAACACTCGGCTTCTGCTAGTTTTGTTGAATAAAATCAGCAAACAATACAAAAGAAATATGACAACGAGATGCTGCGCTGCCAGAAACTTGTATTATTGTCAGCTAACGTTAGTGAAAGAGTCATTCGGGGGATTCATTCACAAACGAATCGCTCTCTCCGTCAGTATACTATATATATATATATGTATATATATGTATATGTATGTATATATATATATATATATATATATGTATATTCATATATATATATATATATATATATATATATGTATATATATCTGTATATATATGGGTGTGTGTATGTATATATATATCACCTTAATTTTTCGGCTGTCTAAGTACAATGTAATTAAAGAACTATCAAGCTTTATATAGGAAAATTATATATATTTTTGACATTTTTGAGTGAGATGTTAACGGTCTAATCCAATTCAATGATCTATACTATGCTAAGCTAAAAATATTCCCTCCAGACCCAGAGATCGGCTGAATAGGTTTTTTTAATGGTGAATCTCCACTGCTTGACTCTAGGAGAGCAGTAAAATGAGCTTATTTGCAAATAAAAATGGAGTGTTTTTTTAACCGTGTCTGATAGGATGAGCTGTTAGCTTGCGGAGAGCAGAAGAGCAGGGGTTTCCTCCTGAATAATGACCCTGTGCCCGCTGCTGATTAATTGTGATTGGATTAAGCAGCGGTCGGATCTGCCACGGCTGCAGTGTCTCCGGTCACACATTCATCTGCATTAGCAGCTTTAAGCGGCTCAGAGCAGCAGAAGTTGACGTGTGTGTTGTTGTGTGTTGTTGTCTGTCAGGTGCACACCTTCAGAGGGCCACACTGGTGCGAGTACTGCGCCAACTTCATGTGGGGACTCATCGCTCAGGGAGTCAAATGTGCAGGTAAATGAAATCAACACACACACACTGTGCAAATATCATGTTTATGCTAATATACTACAGCTATTACATGGTTATTGCTCACAACAGTTACATGCACAATATTTAATGATGGTAAAATAATATAAAATCAAGAGGATTGTAGTGCAATATTTACCCCAAAAAAAGGGTTCCCAATGAGGGTTTTAGAGTGGTGCTGTGAAAGTTTGGGTTCATAATAAGAGCTTTTCTTGTTATGTCTTGTTATCCATGCATCAATGAAAGAATCCATGCATTGATGTTAATGTTTTATTTATTTTGTTTTTGAAACATGTATGGAAATAGTCAATTATCAATAAAAAATATGGTATTCTATATATATATATATATATATATATATATACACAAACGTACACACACAAACACATATATTATTATATATTATTGCACTCAAATGGTTAAATGCCAACAAAATAAGTTAGTTTTTACATAATGTATGAGTGCTCATTGTGTATAAATATTGGGTATATATAAATTTTAAATATATAAAATACAAAAACAAAACATATTTACATGAATATTTACATAAGTAATTTGTTTTAAATATTTAATTTAAGTTAGCACCAATGGCCTAGTGGTTAAGTGCGCTGACATATAGCACCTTGGTGCTCACGGCAGACTGTCTGTGTGTGTGCGTGCGTGTGGGTGGGTCATTCCTGGCATTCGGCAATATTTCAGTCCCTCATATTTTTTAAAGTCGTTGTTGACTAAAATTAAAATTTAGAAGCATTTTTTATTGATATACTTTGTACATTATAATGAATAAAAACAATTTCTTTATTAAAAGCATTTTTAGCATAAAAAATTTAATATTTCTGTCACAAACCAAGCTATTTGTCATGTCCCAGAGGCACTACTTTGATATTGCATGTAGAAAAAAGTGAATAAAATACACAGTGTCTAAATTTTTTATTTTCTGTATTACAACTATTTTTTGTGGTCTTTTCTGGTGATAAATACAAAAAATAAAAAAATAGGCTGCAAAGTTATATCCTTCAATATAAACTCAACCCCATCACGCCAGCAATTCTCCACCTATAGCAATTTAGCCTCCACTCTTATATGACATCACAGACCGAAAGTGACATCATTCAGCGCTTTAACAGCATGCTGCAAAAAAAGGCAAGATATATTTTAATTTGTTTACATTTTTTGATGTTTGTTAGTTAAGAAGGTTACAGTCAAGCCCAATTCAACCCCGTAACGTAAAACTAAGATGGAATATGATTTAATTTTTTTATTTTTAATTCAAAACAATATAACATATCCTTGTTTAATTGCTGCCATGTGGGCCTTCTCTTTTTCTCTTTTAAACCACACAAGGAGCAGAGGCCGTTTTGTTTTAAAAAACTCAACCCCATCACACTTGCTATGAAGAAACTGGTATGAGACACTATAAGTATGTTCCCAAATAACATAAATAACTTCAGTTAAACGATAAAGCACCTTCAACAAAGGGCTTCTCATATTTAATTTTTTTTTTCTAAAAATATAACAGCTTTAACAAATTAAACAACACAAAAATAAAAAGACTTAAATGCACAAACAATCAAATCAATAAGAAATAAATGCAAACCACCAGAAAACATTTTAACCCAATCCCTACATAGTGCCTCAGTAATGCAGAAGTCCTCATTATATTCGCCTGAACGAAATCTAAATGTGTAGGGAATGCTTAAAATAACTATTCAATTTCTTTGCATTAACAACATTTTACTCGTCTAAAGAGCATTTTCCCCCTATAAAGAGCCTTTTTGTGCTGAGGAAGGGGTCAGTGGGTGTTAAATGTGTAGCAGTGATTCAGAAAGCATCTCTTAAAGCCATTAAGATGCTGCCAGTGAACATAAACATCTCTGAAAGTGGGGGTCCCGCCTGGCTTTAATAGTATACAATAATAGGCCTCATGTATCTAAATGTAAATTGTGTGCCATTAAAGCTGTTAACCCTCACCTCAAGAAGCCCCTCGGAGGTAATCGCTTCATCTGAGCACATCAAGCACCATGGGATGCAGAACTGACTAAACATGTTGTTATTAAAATGTTATAAAACACTGATGTCATGGAAGACCTTTTTTGTTTCTAAAACAAACATTTAACAGTGCATTAAGTGAATTTTGCCAAACGATATCGATACTAAATGCATGTAAATAAATATTTATTATGTTTCTAAATTAATTTCAGTAATATTATTGCGTAATATGCGAAATGTTTAGATAATTTATGTACAACACAATAAGGAAAGTAATATTTTCAATGGCTTTTAGTGGCTGTCTTATGAGGCTTCTACTGTGGCTTTGTTGACTAAAGACGAGTGGTTATAACTGGATTTGTATTGTAAATAAATAAATATAACTTATGGCGCACTCACATTAGGAACAGTTGCCTTGAACCGTGCTAAAGCACGATTGTCCCCCATCCCTTCTCCCCCTTGGACTGCTCCCACATCGCATTTTTACCTACCAGACCCGAGCACGCTTACATCATCGACGATGCGTCTGTTCAGTTTAACAGAAAGAGAAGCGCTCTCGCTCAGCACAGTAGAGATTGCTTTAGTATTATCGTTTTGTATTATTTTTAGTTGTTTGGGGTGCACTTTGCCGAACAGATCCACCACTTTTGACGCCAATAAATGATCATAAAGTCCTCGTGCTGCAGGTATTAGGAGGTTTGCTGAAGGTGCAGCTGTCGTGCAGTGAGGGGTTTGCGTCTTTAATAAACTACAACAAATCTTCATGAAACACTCCTCTAAAAGTGACATTGCGTCTTCAGTTTCGGGCTCAGGCACGCTTTATACTCACACTACAAGCGTACCGCACCAAAGCCCAAGTGAACCACACACACCTCGTTTAACCGGGCCAGGGTCAGCCAACTGAACCATGCCCGAGCCCGATTCAGAGCACTCACACTTCACAAACGAACCTGAAACGCACCCGGGCACGGTTCGAATAGCATAGTGTGAGTACACTCTTAAATAAACAAAACTTAAAAGTTTTTAGCTTCTACAGGGTATCTGTGGGCTCTTAAAATGTCTTAAATAAAAAAAAAATTGACTTTGAAAAGTCTTAAATTCACTGAAATCTTGTGTTGTAGGTTTTAAATCATTTTAAACAGCTCTTAATTTTCCTATGTCCGGGTAAAGCTACCCTATAGAGCCGACACCCAATCACAAGTAATCCATCTCAAAACTTTATATTTAAGTTTTTGTATTTCAAAGAGAGACAATTCACAACATGTTTACTGCAAATTTTAGTAATTAATTAATTAATAAATAAATAATAATCTATTAATAAATTCCCTAATCAGGGAAAGAAAACTAAAGCAACACATGCCTTTTCATAATCTTACATTAATACAAAAACTATTTACAGAACTAGCTGCCCCTTTACAGTGTTTCCTCTAGGATTTTTACCAGCTGTGGCGGCAGGCCTTTTCTACTCAGATCTACCAACTACCTATGGCGTTATTTCAATGACAAATGTCGTGAGCACAGTATTACAAGTCTAGATCGCATTTATGTAATAGCCACAAAAGCCAGTGCACAAAACTTCTTGCACGCCCCCTCAAATATGAATAAGAATGGATATAGCGGTAACCATGCATTAGACAAAATCATTCATGTTTAGCCCTGTTTAAGTCTAAAATTTCATTCATAATGGTCTTAAAAGGGTCTTTAAAAAGTCTTAAACTTGACTTGGAGAAACCTGCAAAAACGCTGTTCCATGATCGCACAGTTGTTCCACGTATATCTGTTCATCAACAGAACTCCGCCCCCTTTTTTATTTATACTTTACAAGACACGCCCCTTACTGCTGATTGGCTGCAAGTGTATTTTGTAGCGATACATAGGATTTTTAGCCAACAAAAATCAAATACGAAATGTCCAGCAAAGCTGGTAAAATGACGCCTCTCAAACTTTCAAAGTCATTTTATTAACTCAAAGTTATTAAGTTCATTCAAAAAGTGTCTAAATGCAAAACAAAAATTACATAATAGATCATTATTACAAAGCATTTATTTGGTTTGAGCTTTTGACAAAGTACACTACCTAACAAAAGTCTGTTCGTCTGTTCGACTTGACTTCTTGTTGATCTTTTGGAAAGTGTCAGAAGGTCGATTTTTCCCATCAATCAGACCTACTGGAACCCCCAAAGAGCCAAGATTCTTACAGAAATCAGTCAAGTTTGGTGAAAGAAAAATCATGGTTTGGTGTTGCATTCAGTTTGGGGGTGTGCGGGAGATCTGCAGGGTTTTCATTTCAATGCATTTCTAGTAAAAGCGTTTCTCAAAAATAGCTTGGTGCTTCTATAAAATGCGATGTTCTCGAAAGAACTGTTTTCTTAGTGGAAAGGACAATGTAATGAAGCTTTTTCCACTATAAAGAGTTTGCTGTGCTGTGGAACGTTTCCATGGGTGATGAAAGTTCTTCATGAGGCCACAGATGCCCGTAAACAAGCTTTATATTTAGACATGATTAATTTTCTTTTAAAGGAGCTGTGAAGGTAGTCGACACGCTGGCAGTGAAGATTCAGATTTGTGAAAGTCGAGGAAGCTGCTGGTGTTAATGGCTGACTGTGATACATACGCCCTGCTGTTTATGAGTGTGATGTCATTTGTGTGCTGTTAAAGCTGTAAACCGTGTGTGTGTGTGTGTGTGTGTGTGTGTGTGTGTGTGTGTGTGTGTGTGTGTGTGTGTGTGTGTGTGTGTGTGTGTGTTCTGATGGGGAGATGTTCTGGTTTGAGTGTTTAGTTCCTCTTCCTGCAGATGTAGGCCAGCTTCTGTTCACTCCACAGGCTAATGAGCATTCAGATCTACATGAACACACACTGACCTATATGAGCTCCACACACACACACACACGAACATTCGATATTTCATCTTCTAGAAAGAGACGCAGGGTATTAAAACAATATCCCTCAACTTCCACACATGCTACAGGCGGCACGGTGGCTCAGTGGTTTGCACTG